TTAGTATTGAGTATTGAGTATTGCATATTCATTATGCAGTATTCAGTATTCATTCAGTATTCATTCAGTATTCAATCAGTATTCATTCAGTATTCAGGATTCATTCAGTATTCAGTATTCATTCAGTATTCATTCGGTATTCATTCGATATTCGTTTAGTATTCGTTCAGTATTCAGTATTCATTCAGTATTCGTTCAGTATTCATTCAGTATTCATTCAGTATTCAATCAGTATTTATTCAGTATTCATTCAGTATTTATTCAGTATTCATTCAGTATTTATTCAGTATTCATTCAGTATTTATTCAGTATTCATTCAGTATTCATTCAGTATTCATTCAGTATTCATTCAGTATTCTGTATTTATTCAGTCTTCATTCAGTATTCATTCAGTATTCATTCAGTATTCATTCAGTATTCATTCAGTAATCATTCAGTATTCATTCAGTATTCAATATTCATTCAGTATTCATTCAGTATTCAGTATTCGTTCAGTATTCATTCAGTATTCATTCAGTATTCATTCAGTATTCATTCAGTATTCATTCAGTATTCAGTACTTAGTATACTACCTGATGGAGATCTGATATAATTAAAGAAAGTAGAAAATATATAGACAAGTCTAGATAAGAGATTGAATTGTTGTCAAATACATTACACAGATGTTACGGCTATACAATGACTTATTATTCTTGAGGCTGTAGAGTAACCATTCTGAGAGTGTTCTTTATAAATTAGATTTCATATAAAACAGTCAGTGTTACGTAACCGACTACAGTCAAAAGAATTAAAAACAGTACACTTAACATTAAATTGAATAATAATTAGGTGAAGTAGAGACAAATTTTACGCAACACACAACTGAACGCCAAGTAGTAGTGTAAGATACGTTCCGGGTGTTGTCCAAAACTGTACACTCTAGTTAAATTTAGCTAGCACATAAGTCATTATATCACTTTATCAGTACATTGTACAAAGGTCGCCTCGAATCAGATGTTCATAATGCCGATAGACAACTGATGTAATTATACGTGAACGTGTACACTATACATTCAACGACTTCTGCTGTGTGAAGTGAGCACCACACAATCACAATTAATTAAATGATTCTTTGTGGCAATCGTAGACATCGAAGTGCACACTCAACTACACTCTGCTACTAGAGTAAACAGACATATTCATTGACACTGAATTACTTCACAGAAAACAAAAGAAAAGGAGCATCTGTATGATGGGGTACACTTGTCCAGGATACTAGTCAATTTAACAATAGAAGGAAGTTGGCACCTGTTCAATTGATGATTCCAAGCAGAACACCTGCTCGAAGGGATACACTTGTCTACACTACTAGTCAACTTGATCATACTTTTATTCCTATGTACGGTTATACTGTAACATGAGGATGATCGTCGACTCTTTCTACTTGATAGTCAATCAGTAAACCATCCGAGCAGGTGTTCTGCAGGAGCCACCAATTGAACAGATGACACCTTCCTCCTACAATACTAAATGCAAAAGTTATATATATATAGGGAGAAATTATAAAATCTTTCCTTGTATTTTACAAAGCATAGTTGTTGGTGATTAGTGGTGCAGTTGAATTATGTGACCCGAACCTGTAATGTAAAAACACTTCAAGAACCATTAAATCCTTATATGGTATAATTTTACTCAAATTTCATATTATGAAAGCTATAAGCATGTCTTAATGTGTGGAATAATTCTACACTCCTCACGATGCTCTTGATCTAGGAAGAATGCGTTTTGCTGTAGTGTGCCACACTCCACATGGACACATAGCGGGGAAAGCCAAGAGCAAGTCTATTAGCTCAGGATAACAACAATTTCAGGAAAACAACAATTTTATTTAGTATCAATTAAAGCAAACAAAATAATATTTTATATATAACTATCTAGACCTTTATAAATCAAGAGGCTTGCATATAATGAACATATTGACACGGGTGCAGAGTTGAGTCTGTAGGGAACTTAGTAGTTTCAGATCCTTGTTTAACTTGCCGTACAGCAAGGTCATCCACTACTTTAGCCCGGCGAGGCACATAACTCCCTCTACAACTCCATATCAAATGTTTCATATATACTAGCTAAGTTCACAAGATATATCCTTGTGTTTGAGAAGAGCTCGTTAGAACTGCTTCCTTTCCCTTCAGTATCCCACAGTCTCTCAAGTTTCGTAACTGCCAGAGAACTCTCTTAAACAATTACTAGACTCGGTGATTATAAATCAAGAGGCTAGCATATAATGAACATATTGACACGGGTGCAGAGTTGAGTCTGTATGGAACCAGAAATCTAAGGGGACTTGGAGTAGCAATAGAGTGGCTAGAAGGTACATATACCTTTAACAAAAATACGTCAAAAAGAATCCAGGGTGGTACAGGATCGGAGAGTGCAGACCATGTAGTTTACGCACCCACCCTTGCCTCCTAAATTCTTGGTTGGATAAGCATTTATGCGAACTTGGTCGTTTATACTCCAAGTCCCTGCGTTGTAAAAGTTTATTTGTTTTTAAAAAATTTACCTCAGTTAACTTCATTCAACAATAAAAATTTCAATATAAAAATCAAATAAATTAAACAATCGAATAAATTATCAGTTATAAATTTGATTTGATGAAAAATTTGTGATATAAGACAAATCGTTAAAAACGCCCAAAGTAGATCTAGATCTAAGAGCTTTTCAGCATATAGCACAATCATGATAGTAATAGTAAGTAGGTATGTGCCGCTGCAATTACTGTAATTTAAAATTGCTTGGAGTCCAAGTATCTTTTAAGTCAGCTGCCTGTGATTGTAGTAATAGTGCTTTGGTTCTCAGCTTTATCAGGTTAATGGAAGTTTCTAGGTAATTGCTTGAGGTAAGGATTATTTTTATAAACAATATTCCAAAGCTTGGCTGCATTAAACAAGAAAGTATTAGATTTGTTTATTCAGACACAATAGAAGGAGGGCGAGGCGTGTGCAATTGATGATTCTCCTGATCCTGTTTTATTTTTGCATGTGACAGTTTGATCACATGGTCTTCTCATCCAGCCGACCTGTTAACAATAAGCAGTGGCCTTTAGCACTTGAAAACCCCTCAGGGCAATTCCACAGTGACGGATGTGACGATTTTGTCATTTTTTAGTTCAAACAAACGGTATACCACTTGTATATTTCTATTATTTGCTATTATTTGCTATTATTTGCTATTATTTGCTATTATTTGCTATTATCATGCTGTGTAGTCTGTATCCAGCTTTGTAAGGACTCAAATACACAAAAAGAGTGAACATTACTTACTTTACCACGTTACTGTAACTTCTAACAGTACACTATAACATTACTTTACCACGTAAATTTGAAAAGATATTATGTCTAACATTGTGCTGATATACTTTTTTCAAATTTTCCACTTTGCAGTTTTATTGTGTTCAATGACCCTAATTCTACATTTTTCCCAATTTTTTGCCCTCAAAATCATCCATGAAATCAGCCAAAATTGTTCATTTTAAGTCCCTCAAAAACATCACTCTAAGGGCAGTAATAATTTCTCTGCTTGTACAATTGCTTATTCTGATAAAACTATCACATACTCTTTTACATATTGTCTTCAAGTCTAACCCAAAATTAAAACCTTGATTTACCGCCAACACCAATTCATCAGGGTTAAATCTTTTCCCAAAAACAATGGTAATATGAGGGTTTTACTGTACATTCTAATGTATTCTAATACCTTATATTATACCTTATATTATTAATTTTCTCAGTAGGGTGCACTGCTAACAGTCCTATGATCTGATTTGTGGCATCCTTTACAGCACCATTTAACCTCTTATATAGCAGTTTATTAATATAATGATTAATTATTCATTGTTGTATAAAACTTTTATCAAAGTTCACTCCAACACACTGCTGCGACCATTTTCAAAAAAGTTTTATTGGTTTTGCTTTAAAAAGGTATCAATTTATCTAACCCCGCTTACATTGTATTGCTATTATTTGCTATTATTTGCTATAATTTGCTATAATTTACTATTAATTGCTATTAATTGCTATTAATTGCTATTTATTGCTATTTATTGCTATTTATTGCTATTTATTGCTATTAATTTCTATTAAAGTATGTTTCTATTATTTGCTATTATTTGCTATTATTTGCTATTATTTGCTATTATTTGCTATTTATATTATTTGCTATTATTTGCTATTATCATGCTGTGTAGTCTGTATCCAGCTTTGTAAGTACTCAAATACACAAAAAGAGTGAACATTACTTACTTTACCACGTTACTGTAACTTCTAACAGTACACTATAGTCTATAACATTACTTTACCACGTAAATTTGACAAGATATTATGTCAAACATTGCGCTGATATATTTAAATAAGTGATGTCAGGCATATTGCTCCAAAACTCAATAAATTTAACTCAAGTTTCAGAATTCACAATTAAAAACTTTAGCCCCTGGTATTTTATTGTGTTATTATATTGTTTTCATATCATTATTTAATATTATAAATCAAGAGGCTTGCATATAATGAACATATTGACACGGGTGCAGAGTTGAGTCTGTACGGATACCTATCTAACATTATACTTACTCAGGGGCTTGAGCTTAGGATGGTGTTTCATTGAGTTAGAATACAAAACCTGGTACCGACAGGAATTGAAAAATTGAGACTCTGGAAAATTTAAAATTAGACTTTCCGGGTTCCTTGAGCAGTACCCCGACACCCCTCCTGTTACGGTATAAACATCAGCAAACAACAACTCAATATTGAGCTGGAGGTGGATGTCACCAAAACGTACGTTAATCCGCTAGCGTTTAATCATCAATTATTAATTATTATCTATTATTGGCAAATAATTATTATTATTATCAATTATTATTATTAATTGTCATAATTTCAAAAAATTCAGTGCCTGGCATCAGACTCGCTTTCAAACAGACAACTTTCACTTGTTTTCAAAGAGACATTTGACCTGGTGAAGCTGTTCCCAGCTCAAAACATTGATGGTTTAGTCTTGATATTTGACCGATTCTAGGAAGCCGGTGTCACATAACTTGGGCATGTTAAAGATTAGCCATTCACCCAGAACGTTTTAGATATAGGTAAGATATTAGAATATTGATTTATTTGGTCAATAGTAATACATGTTTTATGGTATTCTTATATGTCGAGTTACTATTTCTTTCGAGTTACTATTTCTTATTCTGAGTATTTGATAAACCTCAGATGCCCTCTAATACAAATCAAGAAATGGCCAAGGGACTCACACAATGAGTGGAGGTCAACTTTAGAAAAGAGTATCCCAGTCCGATATCGTTTGTGGCAACGGAATGGTTGGCAGACGCGGAACATCAGTATCCACATGGAGCATGCTCGCAACGTAGGGGAATACAGAATCGGTATCCGTAGGCTCTCTGTCGCCGATTTTGTAGGTTTGTCTAAGTTTTGCATTGACTAATTTAATGTTTCAAACTTCGATATTAACAAATTATCAAAGTTACGTGGAATTTTTACCTAAAATTGTGTGGCAGTTTTCTACTGCTAGATTTTCCTCCTTGCGTACAGTAAAAATATGCTAATGTTATCAGTTCGCGCGGAACGCGCAATTGCGCGCGCGTTCTGTGCAATAATATTTAATGTATGATAATTTTAGGTTCCACGAGTGTCCTGCATAAAAGATTGTCAATCGTGACGAGAAAGCGAACGGTAGGACCTTGAACGAAAAATCGAAGAAGACACAGAATTTTAGCTAATATATTCGTAGGGTTACAATATTACAAAAATGTGGGACTGGTCCTGGACTCAAAAGGGATAAATTTCGAGATTATTTTACATTGACATTCTTTGTTCTACCACACCTGCCGACAGTGCACACGGTCGGCTGTCATTGTTACTTGTTAATTACATTTTATTGTGCAAGGATTGAAATTATTATATTGTGTCATGGGATGAGGGCCAATGGGCCATCACATTATTTAAAGTGTAGTGAATGTAAATTTGTGATTTAAGTTGCTACAAGTCGTGATTATCATAGTGTGCATCCAAACATTATACTTATAGTTGCATGTGACACTGTATCACTTTCTATATTAATATAGAAGCCGCATGAGAGTGCAGTATAAGTGATTATAAATACCAAGCTCGTTGGACCAGGTGAGCTCCCATGCTTGTGAAACTAAATGTGAATTTGCGTGTGATGTGAGTGTAACTGTAAAATAAAAGATATAAACATTGGTCTCTTACTTATTAAAGTGCTCGTCTGTTGAGCTAGTTGTCTCATCTCTCACTTTTCCTTGCAAAGAGAAGTCTTTAGGAGAAACTCAACCAATCAGACACAGCTTTTTGACCCACGTGATATGCTCCTTGGTCACGTGACAGGTTTCAATAGCCAACTAGACACTGTTCTGCAGCTCACGTGACGGTTTTAAACCAATCAGAAGGTCGAGCAGAATATATACTGTTTCGGGGTGAGATTCAACCCTGATATACTACTCATCAGGACCACTGTAAAAAGAAAAATGTTGCTATACTTATAATCATACTTTAAGTGTTGTGTCAGATCACGTGAACAAGGTGTGAACCATACATTGCTGTTAATTACTACACTGTTACCAGCTGTTATACCAGTGATTTGATAACGTATTGCTTATGATTGAGAATAACTCGTCAACTCATCAGTGAATAAAAATTACAAGTGTCCGCGCGCGCGCGCGCACAGTTACGCTATCTGACAGAAGTTGTCTATCCTTAAATGTTTGGCGCTCGTATATAGCTATGCTTCAAGTTCCAGTTAGATACATGTGCAGAATGCGCGGCGCAACACAGTAGAGTGACGTTCTACAATTACGCTATACAGACCCTATATAAACAAAATTGATTGATTAATATTCATATTTATTACTATTTACATAAGTTACATACACACTCATATTTCGTTTGCGCGCGTGATCGTAGCATGGTAACGCGATTACAATACTCTGAACCAAAATATGTAAAATCTAAAGCAGTAAACCCTGATCATGAAATCGAGAACATTTATTTTTCTTTAGACTTACGAATACCAAAACATTTTTACGCGTGTACTAAGTCTGAAGTTCGTTCATTTGATAAGATTACGCAAACACCTAACAAATTTAGCAAAAGTTTGCCAAAGTTTGGACTAACTGAGTGCTTTAAAATATTTAACCTTGAGCTAGAATCACAAAAACCGTGGCTAAACCAAGAATTTAAGAATTTATACACAAAGAAGAAACCCAAAAGAGTTCGTATAAGAATACTTGAAATCGAAAGCAGTGTATACGAACTACCTTATTGTAGGAGAAATAATCCAATTCTGATTCCCGAATCGGGTCGACTGCACGCGCCCCACTGCAAAAACACCAATCAAGAAACTGTTGATGTTATTGGTGACCGTACTTTTCAAAATAGACAATTCCATTTACAGGATATTAAACAAAGGATAAGCCAGTTGCAAGCTGCAAGCACACCTGAATGTTAAACGAGTTACCTACCAGCTAGAAGCAACGTCTCTTGTTTAATGAGAAACTTCACATTTTCCCCTCAGTTATTCTATAAAAGCGTTCCTGCTATCTCATAGTTTAGTTCCATATCGCGTGTGACATCATCATCATGATCAAATCTACAATGGATGAACTAAAAACAAGTTTAATTGTTTCTGGACGAGGGAAAATAATAAAAACCATGTTTGATCGACCCTTGTCTGTTCAGGGGAAATCTATTCGACTAAAATCTGTGAACTTTCCGATTCCACAGAACCAACCTATCCGATATACATTTTCTGTCAAAGATGTTACAGGAAATATTCATACTCTTTCTCTACCACCAGAGAACTGGTATTGGTCTGAAGACATATTGAAAACAATGTATACAGTTTTGTGTGAGCTCTACGATTCTCTAGATTTTAACAACTCACAAACTTACATTATCGACAGCGAGTCACAAGATGTTGAAATAGTCAACTACAGCAAACCAAGATTCGTTTCTGTACCTTATACAGCCATATATTACGGCGAAAGCGGTCTGAAGATTGTGCCAGACCAATCGTCGCAGAGTGTATTCTCATTATTTGTGAAGAGAGAAAATCGTTCTAATGATAAAAGACTTGCGTATATACCTCATATACCTTATTCATCTAGTACTCAACAGGACACTGAAAACGAATTAAATAGTACTCAAGCTGTGTACTTGTTTTGTGATGCTATCAGACCCATATATATTGGAAGAAGTAAAAGACAAATACTAGATGTGATAAATATGTCACGTGATGGGAATTACTTTAGTAATTCCCAAGGCGAATTTCACGAATTTGCGGTTGATGAATTGATGCAGATTAGTTTTTATTTTCAGACGGTTGACGGTCTTGTGATAGGTTTTGACGATCCGGTAGTCATCCATTTCTTAATAAGCTAGACATATTAAATTATACAATTGAACAGGTGCCAAATCAAATTACACAAAGTAACCTACTTCATACTTGATACATGAATCTATGTTGGTCCTCACTTACTTTTCATGTAATCAGACAGTGTTACATTTTGTTGTAAGAAAAAAAAGACCTACTTAAGGAGCGACACAAAGGACGACTCTCATTAACCTATTAAACAATGGACTTCCCCAGCGAAATTAATCTCGATGTAATTGAGGATGAATACAAGTCTATCTACAAAAAGCATTACCAGACAATTCATACAAGAGTTACTAAAGGTCGTCTTAGAACGGTGTACCATTTTCTCGTCACTGGCGATTACTCACGGAATAAAGCTAAAGAATATATTTCAAAAATTGATATGGAATTAAATCGTAATAATACCTACAAAATCAACGTGGCTTTCGGCTTTATTCTGAGGAATCGTCGCACAGGTGATTTGAGGTTCTTTCATCCGTCACAAAATTCAATGCTGTACGAATTACCAATGAAGGTAAAAAATAGAAAAGATATCAAAAAGGTCCTTGATGACTTGGAGGGTGAAGATGCTAGAGCTTACGCAATGGCTCATAGACCCTCGACTGTATGGAGAATGGAGAAAATCGTTTGTGTTCGCTTCGATGTTTATAAATTGGCGACGCCAGTGACATAAACTTTCATTTACGTTTTTGTTCAGTTACGTTTCGTGTCAAAATTATGGATTTACCGAGTTATGTTGCTTATCGTATGTATTGTGATGTTAATGCGATACCAAGTCGCTACAACATAACATTTGAGAAGGTCTTCAGGGAGTTAACGGATTTTTCTCTTGCTTACACTAAGCAATACGCCGCCCAATTGTTTCATAAAATTCCAGGAAACCGAACCTCTATTGATGAGTTACTTACAGATACGAAGAACATTTTCACGGGTATTGTAAAAGAATTGGAGACTGTCGATAGTGTACTGGCGATTCAAAGTCTATTTATTGCATCTTATTATCTGATGATCAAATACAAGAGTAATCCTCAAATGTGTGGACATGTGTCATTTTGGTTTGATGTTTTTACATACAAATCAAAAGGTTGGGACAAAATGTTGAGTAACCCTCGTGGTAACACTAACTCTGTCACGTGACGTCATAGACTCGTCCTATAAAACAGAGGCGTGACAGTAAAACTCTCATTTCTGTGTATTACGTTTGTGTTTGTCATGACTTTGAAACTAAGTAATTCTAGCAGCAGAACCTGGCTGGGTTATGTGACAGCTGAGATTGTGCAAAGATGCATAACAATGTGCGTTGAAGAATGCTTGGCCTGCAGAAACGGTGTTATCAGTCCACTTTTACATTTTCACAACGAGTTGAGTTTGATGGATAAAATTCGCCGATACTTGGGGCGTGTTGTCATTGATCTTGAGTATCTTTTCGATCAATTCATTTTACAATTTGGATGGTTTGCTCTAAATCGAAGAGACTACATTCAACTGGCAGAAATCTTTCTTAATGTCAGCACACCTGAAGCAATAATGTATGGAAAGTACATCACACATCAAAACGATCACGCCATTTATGGACAACAAGATTCTAGATCGGCTGCTGAATCTATTGTCATAGAAAGTACCTTGGATGGGGCTGTAAAACCCAAACCGACTGAATGCAGCAGTTTAAAGCGACAACCTTCATCTGACAAGAAGCCGATAAAAGCAAAACGCAGTAAAAAGGCTATCACTTCTCAAGATGCTGCTCCAGGGAACAATCTATGATATCACTGAGCGCGAAAAATACACCAGAATTGTGGTCGTTGTGGAAACAGGATTTCAATCTGATGTCTACTTATTTCGGGTGACCGCTGAGTTACAAGATGAAATAGAGTTGGGGGCCGGTGTACTGTTATCTGGTAACTATACAACCCGCGATGGATGCAGGCGATTTGTTTTAGAATCAATAATAAGATGCGAATTCAAGTCATGTGATATTTGTAAGCTTCCATTGACAGCAGAGCAGTGCGTCTTAAAACATGACAATGAAATCCAGCGATTAAAGGGAAAGTGGACAGTCCTATACAAAAACTACTCCGGTGGCTACTTAGAGTTTTTTCTTCAAAAAGATGATATGGTCTTTCCAATAACAATTGCAAGCAAATCATGGCTATATAATTTATTGGACGATATCACAGAAGATGACGTAGTTGAGATAGAAGGGTGGCGACACAAAGACAAAACTGTTCTAACGGCTTGTGGGAAAGTTGACTACCGAGATGTTATATAAGGACACTGTTTACTTTTAGAATCTCATTAAGTTTCAAGATGCGAAATATATTATTGAATTTTTCTTTAGTGATTGTTGTCGTATTAACTGTAGAATTGTCCAAATTTGAAAATTTTAAGATTTCATTTGATCCAAAATGTCTTGAGTATTTTCTGTTTAACGGTTCGAGCAATTACGCGTATTTTCATCATAGAAATGGACAATTTGAGCTGTGGTTAGGTCAGAATGAAATAAATTATGCACTCTACACAGCTAGAAACAGTTCAACGCTCCTTTTCGAGTGGAATGGTTTATCACCGAAAGTAAATCACCAAAAAATGAAACTCGTGCTTTACGAAGGAACTATTCACCGCCCAATGAAATTTGACTCCGAGTATTACCTATGTAACCTTACTAGCGTGATAGGGGGTGACTCTGAATACCACGATCCTCTGGTTCATGTCGAACCTTTCTCG